GCACTGTTTTTCCCAGTTTTACGTCCGTCCGCGGATCTGCTTTTTTTTTCTGTCTGCCAGCATCGCACTGATGTGGTTTTTTGAGGAAAAACGTCCAAAACATACGAAATAGTGTGCATAACTTTTCGTGCGATTTCATATGAACTGATAATGAGAATAGGTTGACATGATTGACTCTGTGTTCATTTGTGCAAACTCAGTTTTATTCCCTCATTTGAGGCTTTTTATGCAATAAACCCCAATATGTTCTTAGTTTATTGGACCCACATTAAAGAGAAACACAAGGAAATACCTATTCCGAGAGATTCTGAAACTTGTCATACTCTTTAGGTTTCCCAAGTTCTGTTAACAAGGAGTAAGGAGTCAGATGCTCATTAAAGGATGATTTAAGGTTTTACATGGACAGGTGGACTCAGCTTTCCTGAGAGTGTTTCCTCCCATGACCATCTATGGTGCATATTTTAGTGCTTTCAAAATCATGTTGCACGCTCTTCTGCTTTCCTGGCCATTATTAAACAGCTGTTGCATCACATAACATGATAGTGTCTTCATTCTGAATGTAGAGTACCCTCATGTATTATTTACATTTGCTGCAATGCCATTGTGATTTTCTCAACTATATGCTCTTTCTAAAAGCGAATAGCCTTTAATCAATGAATAGAGCGGTTCTCAGCAGTTTTTTTTTTTTTTGGTTTTGTTTAATTTCAGAGCAATTTTCAAATCTATTGAATTGGGGTTCGTGTTTGAAAGGTAAATGTATTGTTATGTGCTGCAGTGACAAAACTGGAAAAATAAGATGCTCACATGGTCACATCATGAAGCTGTATGTTTTATAAATGGACAAGTAGAAAATAGTAGAATTTTGCTATAAAGATGTTTAGTTGTATGATTGGAACATTATAAGTGTGTTATTTTTGGTAGGAAAAATGAAATGAATTTAGTTGGAACTGCTTAAAGTAGGCTGGGATCTAAATACTATCAAGGCTCAGTATAGCGGACCCAGTATTCAAGGCAGAAAGACAGTCAGATATCCTTAAAGCGTTTATTTAAAAATGACGGATTTAAATTAACAGCGAGGATGTCTAAGGCAGGAACCTCTGGTTTTTAGTTCAGTCCATGCTCAGAGAACAAGGTTGATTCCAGCCAGCTAACAAGATGGGACAGGTGCCACCTAGAATGTCCCACATTCTGCAGCCCTGGAGGATGGAAAACCAGATCTGAGCAAACAAAGGAAGGCAGGATAATCCAGAGCACGAAGCCAAAGCCGTGGATGAGGACGTGTTCAGGATTCAGAACCAGGAAATCAGAGATACAAAGAGGTTCCGACTGCAGAAAGGTGTCAGGAATCAGTTCCAAGTTCAGTTAACAGATAGAGTCCGGCAGGAGTCCGAAGACAGGTCAGGCCAACAGATCAGGCAGGAACAAGCAGACTCAGTGGTTGAGAGGCAGAAACGGGTCAGGATCAGGTAATCAGAAACACTGGAGACAGGAGAGGAAAGGGGAGGAGTTTATATATTGGCATAAAAACCAGCACTTGAAAACAAGACTGTTTTCAGAAAGAATAAAAATAGTAGCGATGAAAACAACTTATTGAGTTCTGTGTGGAGCAGTGAAGGTTATAAAGGCATACAGCACCTGGATGGAAAGATCTGCGATAAGGCTCCTTTGTGCACTTATGGTGCAGCAGTGTTTCACTGCAACAGTTTCCTGCATGAAATGGGAGGCATTGTCCAGCATTGATGAAAGGTTTGATGCAGTGCTTTGGTCTGCTTGGTCCGAAGCACATCCTAGAACTGAGTTGAACTTCCTGATGAGCTCATATAACCACCTCTTCTCAGCTAAAGCTAACCTTCTGCTTCAACGTACTGCACTGTAGAAGATCCCATTGCAAAGACATAGAAAGTCCTTAAGCACCTTCCATTACTCTCTAAAAGATTTCAGTCTCCTCTACCTTGACCATTCCTCTTAAAGAGCATCAGTGTTTTTACTTCAGCCCAGATTATTCTCCCAGTGAAACCCAGATACTTAGAAAATACCTCTTTCTCAATAAGATTTCCTGGCTGGATGATTGCCAGTGTTTGGTTTGTGTTTGCAGCTGCAGACTAAATAATTTTCTTGAGACCGTTAGAATAAGGCAAACTCAAAAAGTGTCCACAATGCCCACCTTCTGCTCCAAAAGAATATTGCAGGTTTTTGATCTACTGAATGTAGAATAAAATGTAGCTCCTGAATATTTTTTAGGATTCTCTCAGAGATCTTCTATCTTAGCCTTAAAGTTCACACCTAGAATTCGTAGCTTAAAGCTGAGCGACAGAAATGATTGTCTAAAGTGGGGGGGTGTGGTTCACTCCATAAAGTTTACCCACCATCATTAAACTACTTTATCTTTATTAATTTGCATTCACCTGTAGGAATTTTACTGTTGCTCTCTGTTTGTATGAAGTGGTTTTATTTATAAACTGGAGAAAAAATGATAAAAAAAAACTGTAGTGGATAGAGCTGCAGCTGCTCTTTTTGTACAGGTAAGAGGAGAAGAGAGGAGGGGTGAAAGGTATACTGATCCCTGGATTATGATACATTACTTACAGGTGGATAACTGAGTCCTTTATTCTGCACCAGCCTGGAAAGTGAAACGTTTTACATGCACCAATTAAAAGCAGGAGAAGAAATGGCAAAAATATAAGAATATCTAGATGAACATTTAGGATATGCAATACAGCAAATACTTTGCCTTTTTTAATCTCTCTAGGTATGTTTTCTAGAAAATATTGAACTTTCTTGTCTAGATTATTTAATTATTCATATATATATATATTTTTGCATTTTTTAAAAGGTTTTAAACTTTTCCCTGTAATTTATTGTTTGTAGAATGGTTTCCGTGCAATAGAGCGCACCTCACTATAGGCCGCAATGGAAATGTACATTTTTATAAATAGTAATGTCAAATTTACTGATAAAGAAGGTGAAAGATTCCTCTTAACGAGGTTAGCCTGCACATGTACTAATGGACAAATAAAGCCATAAGTCAGTAAATAAGTAGGAGTAGGGGCTAAGATATTTATTCTGATGCATTTTCCTGATGGTTAAGATTCATTTTATTTCTTTATCAGATGGATTGATGGTCCAGAATACAATAACTGTAACATTGCTGACACCTAGTGGTCAGAAATATTTAACACCTGCTCGCTCTCTTCTCATCATTTCTGGCCCAATCATTTATTTGAGCTGGGTTTTGTTTGTTTGTTTTTTGTTGTTGTTTTTGGGGAACATTTTCCTGGTGAAACACTCAATGATTCAAACTGCCCCCCTAGATGGAAGAAAATAGTTTTAAATGATCTGGAGCCACCTACATGCATTTTATCAAATGCATGAATTAAACCTTTATTATTTTTAAGTATATCTTGTAAAAAAGGAAAATGAATTTATTTTCTATAATTTTTTTCTTTTATGAATTAAAATTAGAACAAATTCCAAGCATTCCTGAGTATTGCATCTAATACTACACATTTTCTTTATATTTCAAAATAACATGAAGTATTTGTAAAATACTGCCTATGAAAGCACCAGAAATATACTGAATAATGGAGAATGCTACCTTTAGGATTCCCCAATGGTTGGATAGGACTTGCTTTTATCACTTAACCGTACTAAGGCTGCAGGATGGACCACAAATAATATTCTGATATTTTTAAACTGAATGGTAATATACAGCATTATTCTAGACACGTTTTCATCTGCATAAAATAATAACAAAAAGACATCTCTAAATAAAAGCTTTGTCCCAAATATAAATAATATATCAATGCATATAAATTATGCATATAATGTATGCATATAGAGGTAGATTTATATTCTAAAAAATTGATAACATCTTTAGAATCTCTATATGTTGCCCAGCTTTACTGTTGCTTCTCTGTCTTAGTTCCACTTTTGGAGAGGCTTATTTTTATCAGTCTACAGGGGTTGCTTTCACTATGTACATACAGGATGTTAAGAAACTTCACTTGTAGATATTTGGCATAAACTTTCGGTGTTGATGATGACTTATGATTAATAAAGGAAAATTTGTTGTTTTGAACCTTTTTGACTTATTTCTCATGTTGCTGCAAAGGGTTTCCTGCAAACACAATATAAAATGATCAATAGAATAAACCAAAAAAATATTACTCAAATATCAATAGGAAAGTGTTTCTTATTTTAATGGCTATGAAACATCAAGAGAAATTAGCTTATGTTTATAAACTTTAAGATTTTCAACTCAAAGCCTCAGGCTGAGATTGAACCCCTAATCTCCACAGCAGTTAGTCTCACTACGTACCCCACACGACTAATAAGTCCAATTGGAGACTTTTTTAACAGACCAATAAGAAATATTATGGGTTTTTTTATAGAATTAGATTTAAGAAATTAATTTTAATATCACTAGTTTTTTCTTCTTCTGAAGAGTTCAACAAATCAGTTATTTCCTGCCACATTCGCACTTTGAAATGGCCAAAATCTTTGGGTAGATTATTTTAGATCTTTTTATGTAGCATTTGCTGCAGCTAACAAAAAGGAAGGCTTATAATCGAATTAATTTGCTGCTAAATAATTTTCACAGATTGTATTTATCCTTTACCAACACCATTTCTTGGAGTGAAAGGCTTCAACAACAGTTTTGACCTGTCTGCAGTGATGCTGCGGGATCTGCCCAGTTTTGGCTGAAGTAAGAGTTTTTGTAGATTAGATTATAAATTATTCAACAGGCCATTTATTCATTGGGGCAGAAGTCAAGGGTCAAGAGCAGGATATTGCTGCATGAACTGTTTTGAACAATGAATCTATTTACAGCTCTAATGGAGTCATAAAAAGCCCTAAAGAATCGGTACCACTTAAGCTGGTGGTGAGGCCTTTCATTAAAATCACAGTAAATTTATGACAGTTCTACATCTGGATAAAAAAATAATTGGGAAATCTTTTTGCAGCAACTACTTCATCTTAACTTTTTTTTTTTCTTTTAGGGCTCTAAAGCTCTGCGGTTCTGGAGGACCTCCTCATGTGAAGCTCATCATTGAGTGGGAACACAGAGTCAAGGACTGGTCAGTGTGTTTAACCTTCACGTCTCTTTAAAACTTCTTGTGGAATCAGTTTGCACCTTTTCTTTGACTGTTTTGTTATTTTTCTTGTTGGGGTACCAGTTTGTTCGGTAACATTCACGAGGAAGTGGTGAAGGATGCAGACAGCGTGCGAAATCTGCAGCAGCAGCACGTCCAACAGTTCAGCTGCACGTTGGATGAGTGCTTCCAGCTCTACACCAAAGAGGAACAGGTACCGGCTGCTGATATCTTAGACCTGGGGGGTGCAACCTGCGGCTCCAGAGCCATAATGGCTTCTTATAGTGGCTACAGATAATGAAGAACCAACTTTAGTTTAATGCATTTTTCAGTTTAAATTTCCTAACAGTAGAACAACCAATAAAATGTTTGCAGATTTGATTTTTGACAAATTTCTTTGGCATAATTTTCCAATAATATAATAATGATGACTAATAATTTTACACCAATGGGTAGTTGGTTACCATGGCGGCGCTCCAAGAAAGCAGCCAAGAGCAGCTCCTCTCTACAATTTCACTAAATATGTCTGTCTGTCTAATATAAAAATCCTGTAGGAGAAAATCAATGAATTTTATGTTGTGATGGGCATGGATTCCTTTTTTTATACTAGATTAATCTCACTGTAATTTTGGAATTAATCTAGATTAAAATCATTCATTTGAATTTTGCCAAAGAAATTCATGATATGTGTGCTACCTAAATAATAAGTGAAAGTATTTCTTTGAAGAGGTTCAAACACCTGTTCAGTCCATTTTCCCTGAAGCAAACCCAGCATCTTTATACAGTAGATGCATTCATATTTAACATGATCTTAGACGCAAGCAGAGTTTCAGGGTCAGACATCATTAATGATCACACACAAGATCCCTTCACTTTCTAAAAAACTTCATCATCAAACATCCTTCTTTACCACAATCCTTTTACAAAAATGAAAAACTTTGCTTTCTGTAGTGATCAATTGTTTCTGTGTAGCACAGCGACACTGTCATTGATAAACTCAATCAGCTGATTTTACTCGCGGCCCACAGCCTGCTTTCTTTGTTCATCTGTAAGTGATCGGCTGGATCCCCCATCCTTGGGCTTTTCTTCAAGTCATCAGTGAAGTCTTTCTACTTGTTAAACCTACTTTTGCAACATAAGTTCCCAAAAAATCCAAAATTTGCCTGAGTAGTTTTTAGGAGGAGGTTTTTGACTCACTCAAAAATAAAAAGCACTTGCTGAGTTTTCTGGTTTCAGAAGGTATTTTCTTTACTTTCAATCTTTTTTTTATCTCCTGATAAGAGTCTGGCATTAACGCAGCACTTTAACGCCATTAACGGCACACCACTAATTTAGTTTTTCCTCATTGCAAAACCTAAAAATATAAATAAATGGCAATGGCTTTTGGATGTTGAACTTGTATAAGAACATCCGTTTTATTAAACCGTAATGTAATATTTGCAGCTCTAGACCAATTTTATTTAGCTTTACTCAGAGCAAAATGGTTATTTGGATTTTAAAGGTTGCATAGCTTTCAAATAATGTATTGCACATGTAATTTGTGCTTACAGTTCCTAAGTTATTTGCTTTTCCATTTGGGTATGCCAAATAGGCGAGGATTACCCAAAATGAGGTGGATGTTAAGAGGTTAAGCCAGGGTGTTCTTAACCCTGGTCCTCAGGGCCTACTGTCCTACATGTTTATGTGTTTCACTGCCTCTACACTCCTGACTTGAATGAAAAGGTGAGCATAGAGACGCATCCAAAACATGAAGGACCGTGGGCCCTGAGGACCAGGGTTAAGAAACCTCTCTTTAAGCCATTTAAAGAGACAGCAAAAAATGTCAGCAGGAATACCAAAATGGACTGAAAACTAAATCCAATAATCACCCTGAAGACGGTGGGGGCAGCATCCTGTTAGGGAATTTTTTTTTCTTCTCCCGAAGGTAATGGGATGCAGGTCAGTTGGTGGGAAGATGACTGGAGCTCAATCTGAGCCAACTATGTTCACATGTCAGAATGGCCCAGTCAAAGTCCACACCTAAAAGGAACCATAGAATTTGTAGGAAATCATTAAAAAAATGTCTGTTCATGAAAGCTATATGATGGAGCTTGAATTATTTTGCATTAACAAAAATGAGCAAAAACTGTGGATGTTTAAAGGAGAAGACTTGAAACAATTAAATTATCCACATGTAAATCTCAAAGGTTTGGACTAAAAATGGATACATCTTTTAGGAAAAGCCATGGTCTTTAGATTTTCCTTAACAGAAATGTTGGAAACATGTGTGTCGTTTTCCTTCCACTTCACAGTTTTATCCTACCCTTGAATGACTTGTCTGATGAAATAACAGTAAAAACCACAGACTCATTTGGTAGCATTACTAAATTAAAAGAAATCACATCTACCAAGTACTTAGATCCTTAAAAATCACCTTTCTTTGTTCTCTTCTCCATATTCTCCTTGTATTTTGCCTCTAGCTCGCCCCAGATGATGCCTGGAAATGCCCCCACTGCAAGCAGCTGCAGCAGGGCATGGTGAAGATGAGTCTGTGGACCCTGCCTGACATCCTCATCCTCCACCTGAAGCGCTTCCGGCAGGTAGGCGAGCGGAGAGACAAGCTCACCACGTTTGTGCATTTTCCCCTGGCCGGACTGGACATGACGCCTCACATGGTGAACCGCAACAACGGCCCCCAACAACCCCCTCTGCGACAAGGATGGAAACACAGCAGGCGGCCGGACCTGGCTCCCCCTGACTTCCTGTATGATCTGTACGCAGTCTGCAACCATCATGGAGGAATGCACGGTGGCCATTACACAGGTCTGTATTCCCTCCTCACATGAAGTTTACTTTTCCATCAACCTGCGTCTTCTGTTTAGAAAAAAGGTTACATGTATCGATTTCACATGTTGTTTCAATTGCAGCCTTTTGTCGAAACTCAGTAGACGGTCAGTGGTACAGTTATGACGACAGCACCGTTGAGCCCATTCCAGAGGCCGAGTTGTGCACGCGTGGAGCTTACATTCTCTTCTATCAGAAAAGAAGCACCATACCCCTGTGGTCTGCCAGCTCCTCAGTCACTGGTTTGTCCCTTTTCTCAGCTAGTTTGTTCATATCAATATGCATTGTTAGTAAATCATTATGCTATTAGAATTATGATATACATAAAAATAAATCAGTAAAATGTGATGTAATTGTAGGTTCCACCAGCTCATCCACCTCTGATCACTGGTTGGTCCGACTGAACGGAGGAGGAAGCAGCAGCGGCAGCATGGTCTCCAGTGTTCCCAGTCCGGCCCTTTTAGAACCAGTGTATGCTCCAGAGTCCCCAGAGTTACCAGTGTTTGGAGATGAACCTAACAGAGACGTAGAAGGAAGTAGGTATTTTAATTGCAAAATAAATATAAATGACTGACAAGTTTAATGTTTATGCAAGTTGAGAAATTTGCTGTATTTAATTTTGGATGCGTTTGCAATCAAAGTTTTAAACCACAGATTTTAGTGACAGTTTTTATAACCACTTTGCCTGGCAACAACATTTGTCATTCTTTAATGTTTTTCCAATTTTCTCCTTTTTCAAGATTTTTTTTAACAGTTTTTAGTTCTGGACTTTGACTAGGCCATTTTAACTGATGGGTGTGATTGTCATCTAAAGCAAACTCTAGTTGTCCTCCAGGAAGGTGAACCAGCACCCCAGTATTAGCTCAAATTTTAGCCCCATCCCTCCCTCCATCAACACTTACCAGATGGGGGTTCCAGGCCTCCTGCACCAATAGATTCAGATATCAAGTCAAAAGTTTGGTCTAATCTCACTAGAGCACATGTTGTAATGATCAGAATTCAAACCAGACAACCAGTGTGAAAGCTTAGTACAGTTTGTTTCATTGAAAATGTACGATGGGCTTTACAATGGGCATCAATCACAACATAATGGTCACTAACCAGTGGTGTCAAAACTACACACATTTGTTACTTTAGTAAAAGTATAGATACTGCAGTTTAAAACACTCTGGTAAAAGTTGAAGTATTAACTTGACCTCTTTACTCAAGTAAAAGTGAAAAAGCATGTGCTCCAAAAACTACTTAAAGTATAGAAGTATAAAGTAACCTTTAAAAAAAATCAGCCAGATGCCACTAGATGAATTGTAAGCTAAATTTTTCGACTATTTCGAAAAATTCTTTGAGATAGGGTAAAGGATGAGGGAGGTCTTGTTGGTCTCCGTCTCCATCTAACGATACGCTCTCGCCAGTGTCCGACCTTTCAGACATGGCATAGACAATTCGCATTTGCAGTTTGAAGAACACCTGCTTGCTTCTGATGATTTCCTTTGGTGTCAGCACAAATTTGAAAAATAGCAAAGAGCGTTTGCGTTATATGATGAATGTGTAGAAGTCAGAAGTAGGAAGAAAAATAAGTAATAGAGTAAAGTATAGATACCTAAAAAGTGTATTTAAGTACATTAACGAAGTATTTGTACTTTGTTACTTGACACCTCTGTCACTAACTTTCTCTTAATCCTCAGTCTAGGGAGACCCGCAAGGCTAGGTTCATGCCGTCTTACAGTAGCACTGATGTTGTTCTCATTGGTCAGGACGTCCCAGAGAATAACTCCAACCAAGTAACGATGAGCCATGGTCAGGCAGAGGGTCAGAACCGTGAAGGCAATAGTAGGCAGGAAGAATAGGAGGACAAACCAGAAGCCATAGTCAGAGGCAAGGTCAGGTTCAGAGCCAGGTGATCAAAAGTTCAATAAAACAGCAGAGGGAAATCCAGGAAAAGGTTGAGAAACAGTTCCAGGTGAGGCAAGGGGCAGGCAAACTGATCAGGGTCAGGCAGAACAGGCGGGCAGTCAGGCAGAACAGGGATCAAGCAGGCTCAGAAACAGGGAAAGATCAGGTCAGGCATAACAGAAAGGAAATCAGGAATCAGAATGCTGGAATAGATCTGAGCAGGTGTATATTGTGAGGAATCTGAGCAGCATCAGTGCTGAGATCATGACACATGTATGTCCCATTGCTTGCATGACTTGTGGTAAAATCAGATGTCTACATGTATGCCTTTCTTCCACACAGTCATTTGTTCTAACCAATCTAAGGACCTTATAATCAGATTGGGAATTAGACGCACTAAATTGCATGGGCAAGTTTTTATTTAGTACCTCCGATAAGTGGGCATGTTGCAGCTGATCTTCAAAGATTGCTGCGCAAATGATAATGTTCAAACCAGATTAGTTGCACCAATTAAAGCGAGCAGGCTGCATGTTTTACTGGCTGTTTGAGAGTGGTTGTAAAAAGTTTTAATAGATAAACTTGAATAATCCATTTATTTGTTTATAGAGATATCATTTTTAGAATATCTGAGAATTTTTATCAGTCCATCACTTTCTGTTCTTAGATGTGTCCTAATCACTGATAAACTAGCTTACTGTGTGATACCACTAGCTGCTAACATGCAGCGTGTTACATTTTCACTGCTTGTTGCTGAAACTTGATTATTTTACATTATGTATTTTAAAGCATGTTTCACGGTTTCAATTTCACTGCCCTTTAAATTACATCAACTCCAAAATGGGATGCTTGAAATAAAGATGATTTATGAAAGCAATGTATTTAATTTTGTTAATGAAACCTAAGTGAGGAAAAAAAATTATTAATCAGATTTTGTATGAAAGAAATCCCAGACTAGATCGCCCAGTCGTATGTTCTAAGCCATGAAGTTGGAGGCAATAATGACAATAAAATGTTTATTTTAATTCTAAATAATATTTCTTGAACACTTTATTTAGGTTACTTAAATCTAAGTGCTCCTGACAAAAGTAAAAAAAAAAAAAAAAAACATGTATGAGATATAAAGGGAGAAAAAAAAATCCCCTCTGAGCATTAAGAGATGCAAACTTTGGCTTTCAGATTTGGAAAAAATCTTTGCAGAAATTCAATTTTTACATTTGCATATCATCCATCCATGAATTGGTGCAATTCGCTCATCAGAAGATGAGCTGCACTTTACAGTTTTTCCACAATTTTGTATTATTGGATCTCATAAGATCTTCAGAATACTTTTGCAAAGATTTAATAATTAGATATTAAATATTGGTCAGCATGCTAACATTAAATGTTCTTTTATAGATGGGTCCAATCGGTTGGTGCAAAGGACCAAAGTTAGGAGTTCAAGTATGAGGTCACCTGCCAAGCCCAAGGACACCCTGAACAAAGTTCTTCCTATACGCTGGTCTTTCGGGTCAAAAGACCGCATCAAGCACTCTGTCCAGGTCCAGTCTGGAGAGCTTGTGGAGTACCTGGAGTCCGGACGCCGGCCCAGATGCACCAAAGACCCTATCATCAACCTGGTGGCCACTCCACCACAAAGGAGAGTGCTTGGAGTTGGCCAGGACTGCAGCTCGCCTAGTGGCAGCAGCCTTAGCTGTACGGACAGAGTCAGCTGTGATGGATGTTACTCTCCCAAAATCCCTGAGGGGCAAAGCCGAGCCGTTCTGGAGAGAAATGCAGGTCAAGAATATGGTAATGACAGAGAGGTTGTTTCAAGAGATGATGACTGCTTGAGGCAGGGTTCTTTGTCTAAGAGATTGAGAATTGATCAGATTAGAGACCTGGACATCCACCTCCAGAGAGGGGGCATTCTGGGTGGGCATGTAAGCCACAGCGCTCCTCAAAGTAGGGAGTCTACGCTTCGTAGAACCAACGCCCGGACAGCTAGCACCCACAGGGGCCAAAAAGACTTGATACAGATGGCTAAAGAACCGGCAGCAGAGGAGGGACAGAGCCACGAAAATCTCTCGTCATTTTTCAAGCCAGTTTTCACAAAGAGAGACGTTCCTAGGTCCCCAGCCGAGGACCGAGAGAGGCGACCAAATGGCCATGAACACCTGGGAAAATTGGCAAGCAGTAATTTAGCCAAACTGTCTCTTTCCAATGGGACTCTTCCAGCAGCACCGCCAGAGGAGAGGAGAGGCAGTACGGTTCAAAAATGCGACAGCCATCACTGCAAAGTACAGTTTGCCAACGGAAAGGCTGGGAATCAGGAGCCTGTGGATATTCAGCGGGCTCACAGCTCCAGCAACATCCAGACCAAGCTGGACTTCACGTTTCGCAGATGTGCCTCCCTGCAGAGGAACGGAGAGGTGGGGATCCCTCAGGCGCACCGGGTCTTGTTGTCAGACAAGCCTGGCTACTCCACCCTGCAGCGGACGCGGTACAGCACCACCTCCCTCGGTAGGCAAAGAGCCGACCATAAACCCTGGTAAAGATGTTAGACAATTTGGAAAGATTTAACATGTAATTTGTGGATATTTATATCACTGCTGAGAGCATTTTTGGCACCAAAACTTCTAATACCTGGTGTTCTATTTTAATAAAACAACAGAGACTGTATTATAAGACTCTACAAGAACCAGATCTGGATCTGTGCAGGACTCAAATAATTAATCATTATTAATCCAAATTTATCCAGAACTGCACTAAATATAGATACTGTATGTTTTGCATTTAAGAGGGGAAAAAAATTCAATATGTTTTATTCATCGCTCCCCAATTGGTGTTTTTAGTCATGGTTTTACCATCCCCACTTCTTTAACATCTCCCCTAAAGCATATTTTATTGGATCCACCAGCTCCACTTCTCCTTCCTTGATTTGGCAGGATTCAACTTTTTCCTGTCTCTTCTGAAATCTACAACAATCGCCTTGTTTTGTGCACATTTAGAATCTGATTGTTCCCACACCGTGCCACAAAGCGTTTTTGCTCCCTATTCTCAGCTTGTTGTCCATCTTTGATGCAAAGTATTGCTGCATTCTTGCAGTGTATCTGTAGGTTTTAAAAAAGTTATAAAAATTTCTAAATTTGATCACCTTATTTTTTGGCCTTGTCTATTGTTTGGCCTGTCTAAATTTTTCGACAGTTATAACATCGTAGATTATGCATTTTTTGATCCAATGGCTACTCATCTTCTACTTCTACTTCTTCGGCCAGCCGCACTCTGTTGCTCCCTCTTCTCATACGCAGTGGTTCATTCTGGGACCGTCAACAAATTTCCGAACTAAACAAAAATGAATAAATTCTTGTCGCCCAATAAAGCAAAATTAATGGTAAATCATGCTACTATATTACTTAAATGGGGCACACACACCTTAATTCAATTATAAGTCTTTTTATTATTTTTTTATTATTCAAATTTATTGTTTTTCTCAATAGGTTTCAGGTGACACACAGACTCAAGATTTGTCTGAAACTTTTATACTAGATCGGCCAGATGAGCCACAGTCATTTTCCTTTCATTTGAAAGATTTTTTAAGGATTTTTTTTAAATCTGAGGTTTTTCTTCTATAGCTTCGAAATCATGTGACCCATTGGTTCAAAATCTGGCTGAAAATGTTCCAATAGATGGGACAGATGAGGCACAATCAATTTTTTTATTTGAAGTTATTTTATATTTTTTGGGATTCATTATTTAGTGTAATCCACAATTTTGGAGGCAGTGTGTCACATGACCTGGAATATTTTGAAGAAAAATCACATTTTCTTATTATAAAAAAATATTTTAATATATACAAAAGCTTAAAATTGAATAAAAATTTGTCTGCTTCATCAGGCTAAAGTAGAATAACAATTTCACAAAGAATTTGAGTCAGTTGGTCGCATGAAAAAATAGAAAAAATATATTATAAAAATCTTTCAAAAATATAATAACCTTAAAATTGGATAAACATGAGTATGCCCCATCAGTCTAATGTTATAGCAAATTTGGAGGCAGTGGGTCGCATGACCTGGAAGCTTTTGAAGAAAAATCGCATTTTCTTATTATATAAAATATGTAAAAATATACAAAAGCTTAAAATGGAATAAAAATGAGTGTGCCTCATCAGGCCAAAATAGAAGAACAATCTCACAAATAATTTGAGTCAGTGGGTCACATTACCTGCCAGCTATTAAAAATAATATATATATAATTTTTTTAATCATAAAAAATATTCAAAAACATAAAAAGGCTTAATAGGGAATAGAAATGAGTGTGCCCCATCAGGATAATGCATAAGAACAATTTCACAAAGAATTTGACTCAGTGATTCACATGACCTGGAAGCTATTAGAAAAATATCTATTTTTTTAAGAGAAAAATATTTATTTTTTAATATAAAAAAATCTTTAAAAATATACAAAGGCTTAAATTGTAATAAAAAAAATAAGTGTGCTCCTTCAGGCTAATGTAATAGAATAATTTCAAACAGATCTGGAGTCAGTGTGTCACATGACCTGGAAACCATTGAAGAAATATTTTTAAAAAGTTTTATAAAAAATCTTTAAAAATATTAAGAGCCTTAAAATAGAATAAAAATGAGTGTGCACATTCAGGATAATGTAGTAGAAAAATTTTAAAAATTTTGACTCAGGAGGTCACATGACCTGGAAGCTATTGAACAAATTTCAATTTCTTTAGTATAAAAAATCTTTGAAAATATGAAAAGGCCTCAGAATGAGTGTGCCCATCAGATTAATGTAGTAGAACAATTTCAAACAGATATGACGTCAGTGGGTCACATGCACTGGAAACTATTAAAGAGATATAAAAAAAAAAGTATTATAAAAATCTTAAAAAATATAAAAAGGCTTAAAACAGAATAAAAACGAGTGTGCCTTATCAGGCTAATGTAGTAAAACAATTTCACACAGATTTGAAGTCAGTGGGTAACTTGACCTGGAAGCTATAAAAGAAAAGTACCAAAAAGTCTTCACAAATACCTTTAAAAATTTGAAATAGCTTGAAATTGAATAAAAACAAGTGTGCCTTACAGATGACAGCTATAGGCAGGATTTTATATTAGTTTCATCTTAGCTGATCACAAGATAAGGAATTTATTCATTTTTCCTTTTCAAGTGTGCATGGTTGAAAAATTTGTTGACAGTCCCTAACTCCACCACAGCGTGTGGGAGGGGGAAGCAGCTGAGAGACACTGCCTGAAATCAGGGTCCCTCAATCAGATCAACCCTGAGCGAGATCCCACTGACCCTGCAGAGCTTGAATATCCAATATCCAACTTCAAACCAACTTCACCATGGTTAGGTGGAGGCGTTTGCCAGGTCTGCTAATGCCACCGTTACCAAACATTTATCTTAACCAGAAGAAAAGCAGGAACCTCTGTGGGGCTTCTAGCCTCCTTTTCTTCCTCCCACCAGTGCTTTGACTTGATGTGCACCCTCATTTTGTTTCTGTAGCTTGAACCTTTGAAGTGAAGCCATTCCCCAACTCTATTGCCATTCTACTTGGATCTTATAACACCTGAGCTCAGTCTGAAGGGATTTCAATCCAGTTCCTATTGGTGCAAAATCCATTTGTGTCAACTTTAGCATCATAACCAGAAAGTAATGTTTATACATCTTGGACCCATCAAAATTTCAAAATTTTTGATTATTTCTCAGTAACAATAATACTTTCATTCTGTGAATGTATTTGTCAGGGTTTGGAGGACCCAAATGCAGAGGCAGAGAGGCTGAGGAGATTTTTAGCAGTTTAATGGGGCAAAACAGTAAACAAAGGCAGGAATGCAAAAATCCAACTAATAATCAAAGCAAACCAGAACTATGGAGACATCTGGAGAAACCAAACACAAGGAGCCAGGGGCGAGGTAGATGGACAACATGAGAGGACAGCAAAGACAACAAAGAGTGAGAGCAGAGGGAGAGTATATATACCTGAGTGAGACAAAGGCAGGGCTAACTAGTTGACAAGGAGCAGGTGTGAGAGGAGACAACGAGGGAGCCAAGGGGAAAGGAACACACACACAAGAGGACAACGGAGGAAACAACAGAAAAACATGAGAACTAACATAAATCTAGAAATTACAACAAAACTGGAATTAAACCAATAAAACTAGAAAACAAGGAGCAAAGTAAAGAAGAACAGAACCAAGACCATGTATTATTTTTGAAAAATCAATCGCTACAATTAAAGAGTTGTAGCTATGATCTTTAAAACTGGCTTATATTGTTTGTGTACAGATTATATTCTGAAATGTGTTACTTTACTCATTAGAAGTCTAACACTCGATATTTAACTTGGAGCAGCTTAAAAGGTTTTCAGTGACTGGCTAAACATGGTGTTAGTAACCATTCTGATGCTTTGTGTTGTTCAATATTAGTGTCCTATTCCTGTGTGCCATGGTAAACAAAATGGTCCCAACACTTTTACATGTTAATATTAACCTTTTATCATTAGGTTAAAGTTAACCTTTGAGTAGGTTTAAGTGAACTAAATAGTTTTTCTGGTTTCCTTGATATTTAGGTTTAACCTATTAGAAGATGAGGAAACTTATTATTGTTGAGTCATAATCCCAGAAAACTAAAGCACACAGTTCTAGTTGAGCTGATTTAACACCACCTGTTTATGTTTGTGATGGTAGGACAAAAAATGCTTTTTCCCCCTTAGTATGTGAGGATGAATATGTGTTGTCCTCCAGCATATTGCCCAATAAGACCTTTTGTTGATCTAATATTTATTGTAAACCTTTTTTTCTTAATTCATCTTTACCAGGGTTGCTAACAGATTTTCTCTGCCTTTGTTCAGCTTTTCATTGTGACATTATTGAAACTAATGATTGTCCTTAATTTTTTCCCTCTACACAAGTGCCCATGTAACAGCCAAGAATGAGCGCTTGAAATAAAAGGACCTCTCCTCCTGGTTTTCCAAGCAGAATACCCAGAGAAGCGCCCCCTGCTGGAGGCATCGCTTGGAACAGACATCTTTTTATTTAACCTTTTCATTGTTCTGTTCTAAGTTCTTACCTGTGTGTGTCTTACAACTAAATCTATGCAGAGTTTTAAAAGATATGAGGGAAATAATTAGTTGTTTTTTTTCTCCACTCACATTGTGTTCTTTTACTTTGCCGTCTGTTGGGTTCAATAATTCACATTTGGGAAGTAAAGAGGGATCTTTGTTCAGACTTCCATGAGAATTCTCAGGAATGCAGGAAATTGTTGATAAGGAAGCTGGTACTGTATGTATTGACATGTAAGAAACAAATGTTTGCTTTACAAATAGGCCAGCCTATTAAAGACTCTAAAAAGCACTAACACTGGCCTTTAAATTAAAACACTGGACAAAAGTCGTCTGCTGTTAGAGAGTCCATGTTCCAATGATTTATTTATCAAATTAATATATAATTAATGCACCTTCATTTAAATGTTCCTACTCTTTTTTTTTTTAGCTCAATTTATATCCACGTTTTTGCTGGCAACTGACCTGTTGGATGAGCTTTTGAAGGGAACTACAGCTAGCAAAAGATGGAAGCAGTAGCACATGATATTTATATAAGGGTCTAATAAATGGAGATATAGAAGGCCGTTCTGTAAATCGATCTTCCTGCTATTAGATGTCAGCGGAAATTTTTACTCTTTAAAAAATGCAAATGTGTAAAAGAAATATACTCTCACATATCTATGTCTTTTTTTTGTTTGTTTGTTCGTTTTATGCAAAATTGTTCACATTATTTCACCTTTATGGGAATGTTATGTGTTGGACCAACACAAAGTAGGGCTTAGATATTTAAGTCCTACCACAATGTCCAAGGAGTATCTAAATCTGGACTTTGACTGGGCCATTTTAACTGAGAATAGATCTAAAGCATTCCCTTTCTCCAGTTCAGCCCAGCATTATGCACACCCCTGCTAGATTAGGGCTTAGGGGAAGGGTTTATCGTAAACGTCACAACTCTAAGTGGCCCAAGCAGAGTCCCAGCTTTAATCTGAGGGAAAGTTGCAGAGATTAACTCGATAACAAAACTTTTCCAACCTGAAAGACTCCATAATACCAGAGGAAACACTTTAAAAAGCTGATCAACCATCAATTGAAGGGTGGGTTATGTGTGATAATAAAATATATATATATATTATTTATTTAGAAGGCTATAAATAAGATGCAATTTTTATACCAAACATAAATGATAATTGGTTGTGTCTTCATATTCATATTCAGAACACATTTCACAGATCTGCGCAGGACAAACTCTACATGTCTGCTCTGTATGAACATGACTTTGGCAAACTGAGAACAGTATATGGTTTGGTTTTATTTTTTTAAGCGTTCTATATTCTAATTCATGAGTTGCACCTCTGATACCTTCACTGTAAGCAGATTCTCCAACCCGAGCTTTGGATATTGGCAGCTCCTGACACATGGATGGTTCTATAATGGGGTCAAGAGGGGCCAGTGCCCTCTGTACTCGATTAACTAAATCACTATTTTAACATGTCAACTTATCATATGTACTGACAATTAACCGAGTCCCATGAGTCTTTAGGACAAATTAAAGTATGCTACCTTAATTTTAACAGTGATTTAAAAAAAAAAGTTTACAGCTTCAGTTGTATTTAGCAATTATCTCAACCTTTTCAATGTTCTTTGGCTCAATTTATTTAAAAGTTAAAAATTTCCCTAATTTTGTTTGGAGTTTTTGTCATTTTATTCTGTTTGCCCATGAAAAAAACACTGAACCCCCCCTGCCCTGTGTGGTATATTTAGATTAAAACCAGCAGAGAGCAAACCAACTTGTATGCTTAGCTGATCAATGCTCTCTCTGCAGGTTTTTTTCAGTTTGTTTAGACAACCACATGCTGGGAGTTCAAAAGTTATGCCATAACCTTGGCAGATGAAGAACAGAATACCGTTTTGTGAGATGTTCAAATGCTGACATACTCGGCCGTAAACTAATCCTGCCCTCAGCAGCTCTGTAAACTTTTCACAAACCCTTGCCTTCCTTGGGCTACAGTACATAGGGTTGATTGTTTCCTTTCAAACCTCTGGTACCTTCACACATCAGCTGCATTCATACCCAGATTACATTACACACAGGCTGACAGGTTGACTAATTAGTTTCTTGTTGAAGGTAATAAAGATGTTTGGATTTTCATCTTGGAAAAAACTAAACTTTTAACCCTCCGCTTTACTAATATGCACTACTTCATGTTGCTCTTTCCCACAGAATCGGGATCAAATTCATTTAAGTTTCATGGTTTTAATGCGTAACAATATGCAAAGGTTATGTGGTGTTAAAACTTTGGCTAGCCACTGTAAATACTGTCTCCAACCCTTCAACTGATGCTTACAGACGATTTTAAAGCGAACGTCTCATGAAATATAATCATAACATGACTATAGAAAAAGAAACACACACATACATGATACCCATTGAAAAGAGTTCCAGATAAATACGTAAATGAGTAAAAGTCATGGCAAAGGTTTTCCCAAAAGGACAGATTTAATACACTGTAAGGATGCGTTAAATTTCCTGCAAGGAAATTGAAATTCTGTCTTGTAAAATACATCTATTACAAGAACTGGATACAGATGGTTCCTTTGGAGCAGTTTTATTTTCTGTGTGCGATTGAGACAAGGAATTATTATTCTGTGTTGCCGGATTCTTTCTGCAGCCATAAAAGGGGTTAATCATGCTTCATCACATTCACACCTTATGTTGAGGAGGTGCCCAGTGGTTGTCAGTTATGCAGCTGCATTTGTGATGCATATAAATCGCAGTCTTCAGTTACAGTTGCCTTTCTGTCTGTCAGCTTTTATTCAGGAGTGAAACTCAAAAGGGAACATAAATATGGTTCTGACTTATATTTCACCTTGATTTTTTATTATTTCCCACACTTTGAAAATTTGTGTTCTTCTCTAAAGGAATATTAATCAGTCTTGGCTGTCAACTTTAATGTGTCTCATGGCCGTTTATAAGAACAGAACAAAAGTGAGTCATGGTATTCAGTGTAAAGGGTGTGATGGGACACTATTTGGTTAGATTCTATTTTAGTATCTTTTTTAAAAAAGAAGGTGACATTTTCTACCTGATCTGTAACACTGTAAATAAAGTGCAAGATTAAAACTGTGTGTTTCAAACAAGAGGACAAGGTTGCAAAGTGGGACTAAACTGGACACTGTACTACAAGTTAAAAGACTGAAAATTAAACACAGCCTTTCTCACAAATATCTAATTTGCAAGTTGTGGTTTGTGACTGTCTGCGTTTACGTACAGAATTCTCTTTTTTACATGTCAGTAATGTCCTCATGTGTGAATGCGTCAGAATTTGAATCAAGAAAATGAAAGTTGTTTAGTGTTAGTATAAAGGCTCCGTACAAATGTATACCGGTTACGTGAGATTTTGTAATAGTTTTGACCAAAAACAATCACAGCTGAAGTAAAAAAAAAAAATCTTTACTGCTAGTACACTGGATATTACCCACTTTTGTCTGGTTTTATAACTCAGCTGAATTTTTCTAATCAAGGGTTGGCTGCCTTTAGTGGTATTTAGAAGAAACTCTGACACATTTATTTGCAGAGGGAATAGAAAAATGAGCTTTGATGTAGAGCCTATAAGCATCATCAACCAGAAAGAGTGTTTAAGCATATTAATATTTGCTTCATGATAAACATCTCCAATGAGACATGCAGGAGAGAAGCTGCTGTATGTTTGGCGTGAAACAGGAAAAGCAATTAGATAAACTGAAGAAACTGGAAAATTTGTTAAACTCTTGTTAACTTGAAATAAAACTATTTTAGCGTAACTCATTATATATATGTACAGTGGGGCCAAAAAGTATTTAGTCAGCTACTGATTGTGCAAGTTCTCCTACTTAGAATGAGAGAGTTTTATAATTTTCATAATGGATGCACTTCAACTATGAGAGACAAAATGAGGACAAAAAATCCTGGAAATCACATTGTAGGATTTTTAAAGAATTTATTTGTAAATTATGGTGGAAATTAAGTATTTGGTCACCCACAAACCAGCAAGATTTCTGGCTCTCACAGACCTGTAACTTCTTCTTTAAGAAGCTCTTCTTTCCTTTGCTCGCTATGGTGCCGAAAAAATCTACTGTAAATAGTCAATTAAATTACTATCATTATGTGGAACCCTTATTATGTTTTTTTAAACGAAAAATAGCTGATGTTTAGCCACCATTTCTTGTTTTTATCCTCTATAAGAGAAATAACACCTGCTAATAATTATACCTGAACTTCCTCAAAAAGTCATCAAAAAATTAAAACAGTAATATCAACTAAATATTGGTAAAAAAGGAAACCCTCACATTTTCTTTTTTGGTTGGCTGTGGCTAAGAATCAGAAATGTTGATGGCTTAAAGCCTTTATTTGCCCATTTTTCCAGTAGTCTTCAGAACTCCTGGCTGACTCAGAATATTTCGTTTTATAAAAGAAAAAAAAAAGGGTTTTGTTTTTTAGTGTACATGATATTTTTTTTAAATTGGGATTTGTTTTGTAGCCTAATATTAATTGTAGTAACCGCAGCATTCTAGTGTGAATAAATTTTCTATTTTGTGCTTCAAGCACACGCGGATTAGAAAACAGCCAATCAGAGAGAGAGAAGGCGGAACCTAAGGCAGAACAACCAATGAGAGTGGAGTTAAACAGCGCAGCACAGTTCCATGCACTTTTGCTGCCTCGCGGACGTTTATCCAGGTTACTCCATGGGAAAAGAGTGAAGGGAAGAGTGTGTTCTGTGGTTCTTGTCTGTCCTCAGAGGAGGGCTGGGAAGTCAAACCTCTGTGGGCTGCCATGTGATTGCCTGTGGAGGCCTTGGCTGAAAAAGGGGAGTTGGAGAGATCTTATAGCTGTTTATTCACCAAGCTTGTGCTCTCTTCTATGGTCATCATGTCAAGATGAAACATGGACACTGGTTCACAATGTCCAAAAACCATGATCTTGGCATATGGCACAACAGTGATAAACCACTTCTAAATACAGTAATACAGTAATAATGACCTGGAGTATAATACAGATGAGACACAGTGAGCTCCTTTTAGCACCAATTAGAAGATTTCTTCTTCTTCTTTGTGCTCACTCATGTCTATGCCACCAGGGCGACCAGAGTCCACAAGGGGTTGTATGTATAATTGCACCCAATTGATCATTATAACACAAAGAATTTATTAACCCGAACAATTAGGGATTGATACTAAAAAACAATGTTTCATGTTTCTTGTTTTCATTCACTTATAACTTGTTTGCCCCCTCCTCTCTTTTTACCACTCTCTCTGGTTCTGTCGGCCCAAAGCAGATGAAATCTGTCCATCTTTATCCGGGGTTAGCGTGGTTAGCCACATCTCCGACAGGCATAGGATGCTAGCCTCTCGGCTGATATAAGATATTTGTTGACACGTATCTTAATTTTTTTTTTTGCATTTTTCATCTATTATATTGATTCCTTTAACAAATATATTTTTCAGTCTAGTAACTGCTATATTATTTAGGCAACCTGGCACTAAATTTATCTATGTTTTTTGTATATCATTTTTATTTTTACCATATTCCAGGGATGATAATTAGACATTATATTCATAATTTTAATAATCCAAGCACGATAACTCTCCATCACTTCTCACTGCTGTTCTGTGTGCTAACATTTTCAAGAAGCTTCAACAGCAATGCCATATCAGATTTATAGTCCCACTGCAGAGATATTAGAATCCGGTCCTAAGGCTGATGTGTTTCTGGGTGTGAAAAGACATAGTCCGTCTCCGTGATGATGCTGGTCCATCATTTTAGATCATTACCGTAGCGTGGACTTGTTTACCAATCGGTCTGCTACCAAAATCAATCATAACTTCCACCCAAGGAGGAGGTACAGGCCACAGATCTTAAGACACAAAAGCTCCTAACCATGCACGGAGGGTACCACCCCAAATTCAGTACCCTGAGACTGTATGGCAGCCGTAAGGAAGGAGGCTGAGGACTAATGAGCGTAAGAGCCACTATCCAGGATGAAACATCCACGATCCTTAAGTACATCAAGGACAAGGCTCCAACAGATGACATCCTCACTGAATGTCTCAGACAATGGGGAACAGAAGATGAGGTACCAGAGACTCCGTCATGGGAGGAAAAGCCCCTACATGGGATGTACCAACGGAACATAATCGAAGTGGCTTTTATCAGGAAATCCTACCAATGGCTAAGGGTGTGCAAAATAATCGTCATGATGATGCATCGCGATTCTAATTTTTGTGATCTACTGCATCGATTCTTGAAGGCAAGAATCGATTATTAAAAAAAACAAAATTAACAAATAAAAAACATTAATGGTTGACGCACATCAGCCAAATCAGGTGGAATACAACTTCCAGTGCAGCAGATGTCGCTGCAGATGTGTTGACGCCCGCTGCCTTGTGTCACAAGCATGTCCGGCCGTGGGATACTGCGACGAGTGAAATAAAACATGGAGGACACTGAAAAAATTCGCCCCGCGGCTCCATCACATTTCAAGTCAGATGCTTGGATGCATTTTGGCTTTAAAAACAAAATTTATATGATGCACGTCATTTGCAAAAGGGGAAATGTCATACATTTGAATGTTTTCATTTATTTGGTTTAAAGGACCACTGAGGCCATGTAAATGGCACTGATTATTCTTATTTTGTTATTTTAAGTTTGATGAATCCTAAGATCTTTTTGTCAGTGTGTCCACGCCAGTAATAGTAATATTTCTGTCCAGTATTTGTTTTCATGGCAACTCCTTCAAAAGTCGTTTCAATAAATACAGCTATGTATGAATTCAGTTGCTTTCAGTTATGTATCAGTTGAAGACACTATCCAGATCACACCCAGCCAGTCAGCCACTGGTAATAGCTGTATCTTTTTCTTACAGTGTTCAGTGAAAATATCGCAATGCATCGCAATATTTCAAGTATCATGATGCATCGTGATAGAATCGCATCGTGGCATGTGAATCGTGTTTCGAATCGGATCATGACTTCTTTTTCCAATACCCACCCCGACCAATGGCTAGACAAAACCGGACTGAAGGACAGCACAGAGGCACGCATCATGGCTGCACAGGAGCAGACCCTAAGCACCAGAGCAATAGAGGCCAAGATCTACCAAACCAGTTAACTATTTAGT